ATGAGTTACCATAAGATACTATTAATAGAAAACCACTGAAATTAAACCAATATGGGATTGGTATAGTGAGAGATAAAATAATCAGTAGGATAGAATAGGGAGTCCTGAAATAGATTCTAATATGTATAAGAATTTAATATACGATGAAAGTGTTGATTCAAGTCAGTGGGAAAAGGCTGGGTTAGTTAATAAATAGTGCTGACATAACAGGCCATCCATCATGGTAAAAACAAAATTGGACCCGAATCTTAAACCATATACAAAAATGAATTCCAGGTGGATTAAAGATGTGAGTGCAAACAATAAAATAATTTTGAAATCTTAATAGAAAATTCAGGAGACTCTATATACCACCCTGGGATAAAAGAGTTGTTCTTAAATAAGACCAGAGATCCAGAAGCTATAATAGGTAGGCATATTGACTATATAAAAGTTAAAAACTCTTTTTAATGCAAAAGGTAACATTTGCAGAGTCGACAATAATGTTATCATGTAGTAATTTCTATACAGTTGCAGTGTTTTCCACTTTGAAAATATCCGTTTCTCAGGTTGCAAAAGTCTTAATTAAATTACATTTCAAAATGGAGAGACATAAATGATGAAAGGTATGAAATCTAACTGAAGAACGTAAAATAAATTCTGAACAAATGAAAAGACATACTATGTTCTTGACTGCAGAGTCTTGATACTTGATATCATAAATGTGCTAATTCTTTCAAGATTAATTTTGAAAACTCCATGCAGCTCCAACCAGAAGCCACACAAGATTTTCAAAAATTTAAATGAAATTAAATATTGGCATAAATTAAGCACCCTAGAGTTTATACAGAGAAGGGTGTGCTGTGAATAGTTTTTTTAAAATATGGAAAAGAAGAGCAGCAATCTTCAAATATTTGGGAAAATATTTGTAATGCCTACGATGAGAACATTTTAATACCCATAATACACAAAGGTTCTTTAACATAGAAACAACAACATCAAAAAATACCAACAGCCCCGTAGAAAAGGGGGCAAATGAGGTAAATAGTTCACAGAAGAGCAAACACTAAATGGCCAATAAATACATAAAAAGATGCTCAAATTTATCAGTAGAAAGTGAAATGCCAATAAAGGAAAAGCAGATTGTTATTGACACCCACTGCATTCTGTGACTCAGTGTGGAGGAGCAGGACCTGTGTAGTTAGAAGGTTTTGTGAAGGAGGTAGGTGTGAGCTGGGTGTATTTAAAGAGAGGGAGAACTCCGCTCGAGGGAAAGTCCCGAAATAAAGGTCAGGGAGGAGAATGCCAGGGGACAGAAATCTCATGGCAGAGGCTCAGAGTGAGAGGATATGGTTGTGAACATAAACAGGAATTTGGGAGTTCAGATAGCGTGCAGTGCTAGATGGGTCAGTGTTGTGATTTTGACGATAGGCCATTACTTAGCAGAGTAGAAATGCTGTGTTCTTTTATATATTTTTTTTCCCGATTTTTTTTATTTTGATAAAATACGTAAAACATAAAATTTATCATCTTCACCATTTTTAAGTGTGCAGTTCAGTGGTATTACATACATTTATAATGTCGTGCTACCATCACCACAATCCGTCTTCAGGACGCTTTTCCTCCTGTAATAGTGAAACTCTATACCCGTTAAGTAATAACTCCCCGTTCCCTCCTTCCTGGAATAGCGTATTCTATAAAAGAACTGGTGAGAGAAACAGCGGTATGAGAATGTAATCATGGGAATATTTTAGAGCTGAATACCAAAAAGAAAATACTGGAACTACTTATTGCCATGTTAACTGTAGTCCCTTATATAAGAAATAAGTAATCACTGAAAATTAAAAAAAAAAACTTCCTTATTCTTTTCTTTTTTTTCAAACATTGAGATTAACAAGGAACTTTTTTTTTTTCTTTTTTTCCCTTGTTTTCAAAGATCACTGAAAATTTTGGGCAAAGAAAGACTGTGAAAAAAATACTACGTAAGGAAGGTTAATGTGGCAACACCATGCACGAAAGTTTGGCCTCGCAAGAGGCAGAAAGGAGAGACACCCAAATGTAACGTGTCTCATGTTAATTGTTTTACAGATTACAAGGCACTTTTCACTTTGTGCAAGAGATTGGGTGTGTCCGGGTGACACTCTCATTAAAGGGCCAAGGTGGGATGTGACTCCCAGCTCTTATTCCAAATAATGCTTGATGAAGATCCAGGGGATATGGGCATTGCTTTAGATTCCCAGCATAGCTATCTGACTTCTTACAACGTCACCCTTTTCTGGGGACAAAGAGTCCCCATCAATTTCCCAGGAGAGGAAGCGGATTTGGGAGAAGCAGTATGGTTGGGTGTAGTGATTAAGAAAATGGGCCCTGAAGCAGGACTACCTGGGTTAAAATCCTGGTTCTGTTCTTGCTAGCAGAGTGACCTTGAACAAATTGCTTAATTTCTCTACCTTCAGTTTTCTCATCTGTAAAATGAGGATGACAGCAATAGTGTCTACTTCTTGGGGTTGTTGTGAAGGTTAAATGAATTACTATAAGTAAAAAACTTAAAACAGTGCCTGGCCCATAGAAACATGACATAATTTTACAGGAATAATTTTACTATAGATAGTCATAGTAGTTTTCTCTCCTGCATTTTCAGATGAATTCATGCACAGAATGGAGCAGGGATGGGAACGATGCCTCTTAGATTCTGGTTTTAAATTTACTCCATCATAATCCTATTTGAGAGTCCCTAGGAGAAAATTTTGATATTCGAGCTTTTATTTTCACATTTCAACTTCAGTCCACAAAAATCCTACCATTTGATCCCCGCTTGAGCTTTTAAGCAGGCTTTTTTTTATCTCAAATTATTTAGCAACTGAGTGATCAGATGCTTAAGCAGATTGTAATTTGCAAGTTACATTATATCTATCGTCATTATTTTCCATGACATTCTTACTGACCTTATGGTGTATAAACTTACCAGAAAAGGGGGAAGTTGGGCAGATGAATAGGATTTCTGCAATGAACTCGGTATGTTCCATTTGTATTTTCAGTTGTATCAACTAGAAATAATAACAGAAGGTGTTGTTTCTTATTTTCATCGATAACTTTGAAGATCATGTACTCTCTTGCTGCTAAACTAATGACAGAGACACATAAATACACAGAAGGGAAATGATTTAGGAATTTAATAAACAGGGAAACAGAAGACAGGATGCAGGGAGAAAAAGAAGAAGATAGTTCCAGAAGCATTGTAAGAGAGAAGGCAATGGTC